ATTCTAATTGATTGACCTCCGTTAATGACGCTCCCTGCACGCCTCTGCTTGTACCCCCCCCCCTTTTATTTTGTCCTCTCCTCTTTCATCTCTCCTTCTGCAACCCTCTTATTAGTTCTGCCCTCTTTACTTCTCGAGCATTTTTTGGAAGCTTCAGTTGACGAAACGCAAATCTGTTTAACCAGATGTGATGAATTAAATTCTGTCGTTTCTATTTTATCCTCTTTATCTTACACCTCTGGCTCACCTCCTTCATCCTACTTTTCCTCTCCCTCCATCATCATCGCTTGGCCTTTTCATTTGTTGATCCATTTGTATACATACGTGTGTGTGTGTGTGTGTGTGTGTGTGTGTAGTACTGATCTGCCCCGCCTCCCTGGCCTGATTATTGTCTTGCGGAGAAAGCTTCCTTTTAGTATTTGGTTTCCATGGCAACGCTGCCTTCCATGAAGAGCTGTCTGTCTACGATGATCAGGAGCTCCTTCCATTCCTCCTCTCATTTCTCTCACTCAGCCCCACCCACTCCTCACTCTTCCCCTTTCCCCTACATTACTCTCTCCTCCCCTACCTCCCCAGTTCTTCTTCGCCTTTAGCCTACATTTCCTATATCTCCCTCTCGCTATTCCCAGCATCTCATGCCCATTTTTAATACTCCATATATCTCCATACGCACACGGCATATTTTCTCTGCATTTTTAGCACTGACCTTTTGCTTTGTCTCTGCGTGTACCCCATGCCCCGCTCTACATGTCTCAAATATATAGCTTTTACACATTTACCTCATGGGCTGTTACTGTTGAGGTTTATTGAGTTTCATACAACTGACTCATTCATCAGTGTGTGTTTGTATGCTTGTGTTCTCCCACTGAGCTGTGACTCCTGCTTAAGTAGAAATACAACAGAACCGTCCATCATCAGCCTGAGAGCGTCAGATTTTGTTGACCTCTTGAATGTACACACTGAATCTAAAGTGAAGTGAGACAGCCACCGGCCCGATTCCCTTCATGCAGATTCTGATGCAAATCATGCGGTTTAGAGTCACTGCTGATTGGTAAATTAAATCAAACATATCTTCTGGTTTTGTCATGATGTTGACTTTAGGGAGAACAGTAAATGTCCTGTGTTGATAATATATAGTATCTGGGTCACTGGGAAGAGATCGATTTTATTAAACTACAACATATAAGGGTATGTTTATTTGTTACTTAAAGCAACAACAAGGAACTGTTATTCTGTGTTGAATCTGTTTAGCTTAATAGCTTAATAAGTTCACTTTTATAGTAAGTGAACACTCTGAGTGATAAGATTTTTGTTTTTTTGTGACATTTAGTGCTTTTCTAAGACATTGAAGACCTGCAACTACCCTGTGATACAGTCCTGGTGTACAGATGCCTCAGTTATAAAAGTTGTATGAACCAGCAAAACATTTTTGTGCGTAGAATACTCTAAGGTAGCCACAGTTTCTAAAAGCGTGACACAACATGTGGGTAAGCTTTTGTTTTTTGCAGATTTTCTTCAAACAATATCTGGATTGTTTAAAAGTAGCAGATCACTTTAACCCTGTGCCCATGCATCCAAATGTTGTCTTTCCTGTTGCAAGAAGATGCGGATAATCATAGTTTATAGTGATCAATTTGATTTATTTTTTAAATAAGTTGAAAATAATGAGCCCTTCATGTACGGCAGAAGTCATGCAGACAGTTCTGTGTCATTAATTATGTATGATTGATTGTGTTTTCAACATTTGCTGTACTCTGGCACAATAGCAGCGTTGACAACCGGCTCTAAAGTTGTCAAACTGTTATTATACCAGACTACAGGTTTTTTAAGATTAGCCAATTATTATAAGTCAGTAGCTTGTCAGCCTGGAGGCTAATTCACACCGGACCATATGCTGGTGTAGTGATGTTGTGTGAGCATATGGAAAAAAACTGTAACTCTACATAAGCATTTAAGTAGGCCACTGGCAATAAAACCTGATGAAGAGTGCAGACTGCCTGTAAAAACCTGCCTTCATCACACAGGTGAAAGCACAAATGCACATATAAACATGTTCAAGTTTTGTACAACACATAACTACACACATCGTTAGTCAACATTTTAAATTTGCTTCTCCCAGCCAGCCCAGATATTTGTTTGGTCTCCCCCTGCATCACTCTGGTCAAGTGTGTGCATAATATGTGTGAGCGCGTGTCCACGAGAGCATGCAGATGTGTGTAAACCATAAATGGGTCACAAGTGACACAGAGAAGTCTCTTTAAAGGCCACAAGGGTGTATTATACATTCATCTTCTTCTCTCTATTTTTATCTGCTCTCGCCCCTCTACCCCCCATCTCTGTATCCACCCTGTAGAATCAGGAATGTGATCCACCACATGAAAGAAACCGAGGAAAACGGCGACGACCATGTAGAAATCACTGGGCATTTTTCTGTAAAGATAACCTATATTCTGCGTGAAATACATTACTGCCCACTGCTCTGTGAGAGTCTGCCTGTGTGTGTCTTCGTACTCACCCGCACCGTACACAACGGAGTAGACAATACGTTTGGCATGTTCCCGGTCCTCAGGAGTCACCTCACCTTCACTCACCCCCTTCCTGAGTGAGATAAACACAGTGTGCGAATCAAATAAACAAAAATGAGAATTAACTGATGGTACATTTCAAAATTAAGATGTTTTTTAAAGGGAAAACACACACAAGGATGAAGTCATTGGTGGGTAATTCCCACACAAACATTGATACAACATTGTAGAAACTGTAGAATGAAGTAAAAAGTATGTAAGTAAGATATGATGACCACTTTGTTGCCTGGTGGGATATAGAGAAGGTAGAAATATGAGACAGAAGAGTGACACAAGGAAGGAGAAGACAGGAAATGAAAAGGACAGCAGAAAAGATCAAAAAGAAAAATAAAGAGAGAAACAATGTGAGATATGGAGGTTAAAAGGACATGAAGTACAGAGAGACAGAGGGACTAAACAAAAGAACAGAGACAGAAGGGAGAGAGAGAGAGAGAGAAGGAGGGAGGAGGAAGAGAAAAAAAAAACATCTTTACCTACCTTTAAATGGTCGGACGGTGAATGAACAGATGCTTTTCAAAATAAAAGAATCGATCACTTCAGTCTGGACGGGTTTAATTCCCATTATAAAGACGGGCGCTCACATAAAGGGGGTGTGTGTGTGTGTGTGTGGAAAGAGAGAGAGATTGAGTGTGCAAGCTAGAGAGCTTGTGTAGAGAGAGAGGGAGGGAAGTGTAAGCCAGTCACAGCATCTCTCCTTCTCACTGCACCAGGGCTGAGGGACTGTTCGTCCCCTCGCTTCCCTCGCTGCAGATTTAACTCATTTCCATCAGCGCAGTCATCTTTTTTTTTTCTTGCTTTTTCTTGCTGCTTTTGACAGATGCATTACCTTCATCTCTTTCTGTATGCCAGGATCTAAGGATTTATCTACTAAAAACGTGGGCCGTCCTGTTTAACGGAATTAAAAGGGGGACGTTTGCAGAGGACAGTGCTTGAAACTGGCACTCCGACTGGGACTTGGTCTTTTCTTTATGTTACTAGAGTGGATTCCCCTTTTGTTGCATTGCCAGTTCAGGGCGACAGACATACTGAGAGAGGAGTTGTAGGACCCCATACCTCCACAACTAAACAGAGTGCATATTTCAAAGGACTAAGGCAAGTTAGAAAATCTATGGTTACATTAAGCACTTGAGGAGAAGGTGCTAAGCCTCCCCTGACAATGCTTCAGAATGTCACAACAAAAATGCGAGTTACGAGTTTACGGGATAAATAAGAGGATTGCCGATTGATCCCCACACCCCTCTCTGCAAGTGTCTGCCACAGGATTGCTGAGGAGTCGAATAGAGTGGAGCGCTGAGTTATTCAGCTGGCCTCTCATTGCTCCGAGAGAGTCCTTTCACCTGCCTGCATGGGAGTCTGACATTCAACACTTTCATCAGCTACTGGACTTTTACATTTGTTTGTCTATTGCGACTTGCAGTCCAGAACACTGAGAGGCAAGTTTGCAATTTTGGATTTAAAGTTTAATTCACTTTAATGGCAGAACTCATCTAGACATTTGACGCACTTGGTTTTTACCTCATTCTGCCTAGGGATGCCTTGTAAACACATTTTCCCCCCAGCGCCATGTGTGCTGAGAGAGCTGTGACATTATCTCCTGCGGAGATCCCCATGTTTTTCTAGCCTGTGTCTGTGTTTTGATTCAGACAATAGCTGGGCATACATGGGCTCCAGACACTGACCAGAGGACCACCAAAATAAGGGAAGCCTGCTGTTATATAGTAAACACTCTAGCACCCATGGAACAGTGACACTTTTGGATTGAATTGAAGGATTGATTCACAGAGATGGATGTAATTTTCTTTTTCGAACTTCGGTATACACAAGAGAGGCTCTTAAGAAGCTTTTTTCCCCCTGTAAGCAATGATGACCTAAAATATGTTTTTTGAAAGGTAACTGTACACTAAATTTAATCTGATCTCTAGGTGTGAAATTGGACCCATATGCTGCTTACTTATTTGTTCTCAAGAGAGAATCAAGTCAAGTCTGAAGAGCACTGTGCTTTACTTCATGCTGTAACCTCTTCATATGGTGTCCTCCCTTGCATCTTCTGTGCTCTCTGCCCTTGTTGAGGACAGCTTATGCCCTCAGCCTCCCGGTGGCAACCCTCATTAGAATCAGGAGATGAGGCCACAGACTGGCAGGCAAGGCAACAGGGAAATGTGCCTGTGGGATAGATGCTGGCCACAGCACTAAAGCTACCCTGCGTTAGGTTTACTAAAGGAATACAGCATTTTTTTTCTCTACTCCTAACTGTTACCCACCCACTACTTTCACTAACCATGAGTGATTGGAAAAGGAGAGCTAAACGGGTTGTCCTACCCTCCTAGAGGGTGTATTGATTTTCCTCCAGTCAGTGTTCATTTGATTGAGACCCAGCTATGTGAGAGTAAGGTGAAAGAGAGAGTGAGTGTGCTAGAGAGTATTGAGCTCCATTAACTGAGGGAGGCTGCAGACACCGGTATAGAGCGGCTGGGAGGCAGGCAGTTCTCCAGTTTCAGACCAGCTGCCTTATGGGTGGCACACCAAACAACCTGACCCACCTGGATAGCACCCAGAACAATGAACCAGTCTGAACTGACAACAGACCCAGTGCTCACTGCCAACAGCAGCCATGGAGATTTCTTTCCAGGCAGGTCCTCCAACCATTCTTGTCCCTTGGGCTGGGGGTTGAACGAAGGCCTAGAGGCTTGCGTCCTGGAGACTGCTGTCATTGTACTTCTGACCGTGCTCATTATTGCCGGGAACCTGACGGTGATCTTTGTGTTTCACTGTGCCCCTCTGCTACACCACTACACCACCAGCTACTTCATCCAGACCATGGCCTACGCTGACCTGCTGGTGGGTCTTAGCTGCCTAGTGCCCACCCTGTCTCTACTCCACTACCCAGCAGGTGTCCAGGAGCCCATCACATGCCAGGTGTTCAGCTATGTCATCTCGGTTCTGAAGAGTGTTTCAATGGCCTGCTTGGCTTGTATCAGTGTGGACCGCTACCTGGCCATAACTAAACCACTATCTTATAACCAGCTGGTGACACCATGCCGGCTACGAGGCTGCATCACCCTAATCTGGGTCTACTCTAGTCTGGTTTTCTTGCCCTCCTTCTTTGGGTGGGGCAAGCCAGGCTATCATGGGGACATTTTTGAGTGGTGTGCTCACTCTTGGCCCACCTCTGCCCTCTTTACAGGCTTTGTGGTGTGTTTGCTCTATGCACCTGCGGCACTTGTGGTTTGTTTTACCTATTACCATATCTTTCGCATTTGCCAGCAGCACAACAGGGAAATCAGTGAACGACGGGCACGATTCCCCAGCCAGGAGATGGAAGCTGGTGAGGGGGGTGGCAGTGGACATCATGGAGGGCATGGACCTGATCGACGCTATGCGATGGTGCTCTTCCGTATCACCAGCGTTTTCTATATGCTTTGGCTGCCATACATAATTTACTTCCTGCTAGAGAGCTCCCATGTGCTGGATAGCCCTGCCCTCTCCTTCATCACCACCTGGCTGGCCATCAGCAACAGTTTTTGCAACTGTGTCATCTACAGCCTGTCTAATAGTGTGTTCCGCCTGGGTATGCGTAGGCTCTCGCAGACAATGTGCTCCTTCAGCCACTGTGCGGCAGATGACAGGGACTTTGGGGAGCCTAAGCCAAGGAAGAGGGCAAACTCATGCTCCATCTGAACAGATGACTTTTACAGGATGAGGATACTCCTGGAATCTGCGAATGGGAAACGTGAATCTTAACAAGCTTAGCAGCTAGTCAAATTGGCAGAGCTTAGCTAAACAGAAATCAATTTCTGTTGGATCAACCTGTCAGCTGGCACCAGTGACATTGCCTTGATCAAAAAAAAGAAAATGGTTTATTGCATTACAAGCTTTTCAAGGAGATGGGTGCAATATCTTAACAGAGATTTAATGAGATTGGCGGCACCCTGTGATGGCTTTTATTCTGTGGTATGTGACTGTCTGTTGATCACGTAAAACATAGTCTCCCTGTGGCTTTCTTAACCTTTACATCTCACTGTATGTCATCAGCCAGGTCAGACATAGTGGGAAGACAAAATTCCAAAAGATTCACAAATATTTTCCTAAGCCACACTATTTCATGCTTGTTTAATTTTGCTAGTGGTTGTGAAATGGATCAACCTCAATGTCTCCATACTTTCTATGACTGTCATTAGCTTAATTAACTTACACGTGCTCACAAACCTGTTTAAAGGTTGTAAATGGATATTTGACTATTTAACTGTAAAAACACATACAGTGACAATGATGACAGCCATTTGCTGCTGGTGAATAACAGATGGCTAATTGACTGTTTTCTAAAGGAAGGTGAGCAGTCCGTTTCTGTTGAAGTATTTTGTGTTGAGTCTGTAAACATAATGGTTAGGTGAACTGGAGAAAGATGCAAAAAATGATGTACTGGTCACAGTGTGTGATTTGCCAGTCACCGAAATTTAGATAAAGTTATTTATTCAGAGCTTCTGCAAAACCTTTTACGTAATGTAACAGTGCACAGCAATCTTAAATGGAAAAACTCCAATATAGCACTGTGTAAATATACTTATACACCACAGCATTAGACCAAGGACTGTGTATCTAAACGTGTATTAGGAGTGTTGAAACCTTTAAATCCCCAAAACAGGATTTCATAAAGTTTTCACTTGACTTAACATGGTAACTAATCTATAATGTAGATGGCCAAATTTAATAGTGTGACCTGTATCAGATTTTCCACAGATGACACGCTGCTTCCATTGTTTGCTGATCTTAATTTTAGCTGATTATAGTTGGTCAGTGATTGATTGCCGCAACCATACAAAAAGCACCTTATTTCCAGAATTCAGACAAAAGATGTGGCGGGTTGACACTGAGGCCTCTATATTGAGTACACGGAACTGATGCTCTCAGCAGATAACTATCCAGTTTTTTTTCCCAAGGTCCCCCCTTGCTCTTATGAAATGGCCCATCAATGCCAGGAATCCCACCATTGGTGTGGCATTCCAGATATGGCTGTGTTATGAGTATTCTGCTAACAGTTTGATGCATGAGTGCTCATGACAGCCATTTCTAACAAGCAAATAAATATTACGTCCCTCTTCCCCTGTATATGGAGGGCCATGTATACTGGAGAGCGAACAAAAACAACTGGCAAAATAAAACGGCATTGTCTAATTATGAAATAGGAAGTTCAATTTGTAACTTTTTACTTAAGAAGCAGAATTTTGTAAATGAGCTAACTTGAGGACATTATTTTTAGATGCACCTCCTGGTCGTTGCTTTTAACCCACTGGCAGCCTGGTTTTGGGTGCTCTGCATCCGTGACACAGTTATCTTTCTGAAAGATTGTAATGGATTTTATTTCCCAGCAGCAGTGACCAGGGGCTCAGGTTAATGTGATCTGATCTGTCTGGAGGTCGCTCTGAGGTTAAAACTTAACTGATCTGAAATTACAGGCTTAGTTTAAAGGTTTAAGGCTCAGTTGCTTATCTTGTGTTGGTTTGTTAAACTACTGGCTGGACAATCCTCATTACTTTTAATTTGTCTCACTGTCTTTCTGTTGCTGATAAACATGAAAAGTTTATTGCCCTCAAACAACAGGCCATTTACATACATTGGTAACTGG